AAAATAAGTGGGAAAGTACTCTATCTCACTTGATGGTAAATTACTAGCTTTAACTTTAAGGAATTAAAAAATAATGCAAAGGAGTTTAACACAAGACGAGACACAGAGACACAACAAATTAAGCTTTGAATGCAGTATGAAAAATAAAAACAGAGCAATTACACTCAGACAAGAAAAGCCACATCAACAAAATACTGGCCTAATAATTACATAATACTAATTTTTATCCAAATCTTAACTAGGTACTTGAAAAGCTGATGTTTGGCAGGTTATGTTACCTGTAGATGCCACAACTGCCCATTGAAAAAATGGAAGCACTGAAGAAAAGCTTTAAAGTCCCACTTCCATCATTAATTTACTCTTCTCTCAGGTTCTATGAATTACACGCCCTTCAGTGTTATAAAAAAATTTTTGGTTGGCAGTAAGGCTTCAAACCATAATAAAATAAGACTTAGATTGTTTTGGTAAAATCCTTTATGCCTCATTTCAACCACAAAGTTCTTTGAGCTTTTCTTGGTGCTGGTGGTGGTGTTTTTGTTTATGTTTGTTATTGTTATCTTTCCATACTGAGGCAAGCTTGGGTTTCCCTCCTCACTGGCTAACAGGAACTTGGTATATTTTTGTGCCCATACTAAAGAAACTTCCATCATCCTAATCACATAATATTTAAATTATGTGATAAGCCAGTGAGATCTATAACATCCATACCTATAGCTCTTTGCTAAGGCACCTTCTTCACATATTTTAACACAGAATAGTTATATGGGCAAAATGTATCTTAGAAGTTCTAAATTGAATTATGGTCCATTCCAAGCAATTAAGATTACCAAATTTTCCTATGAAAATACCAATCTTGTTTTCATTCCTAAGACAGATACAATTCAAGGTTAAACAAACAGAAGAGTCATATTCAATGTCTGGAAGATGTTTTTAAGGCTTAAATAGTAATGGAAACTGCTGGTAGAGTACACTAAGAAGTAAAAATAATCAAATTAGGAAAACTCTAAGTTAATCCAAATTGTTCATGAAGCTTTACACTTGTTCCTGGTATATAAAATATTTAATATATAAAGTAAGTACTTTTATGTATAATGGGCAAATAAAATTCAATTAAAGGCAAAATAAATTTCCTTTTTATTGAATAGCAGAGCTAAAAGAAACAGCTGCTATTTCTCAACTACTTTTTCTAAACGTCAACTTCCTTCTCTTTCAACATTTCTATTTTGAGAAACTAATTCTTCTTCTGCCTGAAATGGAATATTACCTTTCACATTTGAGAATTTTTACACCATGATTTTCTATTATTTCCTTAAAACCCAAACTATCTCTGCACCAGTAAACGAAATCGGAAGGTATACCTTTACTAGTAATATTGGGAGCAATTTCACTCTGCAATTCTCTAGGCTACATGAGGATGGACATCTTCTCTCCTGAAGCTCTCTGTGGGCCTTTGGGAAGGCATGACACTGTCTTCAGTTTGATAGGACATCACTAAATTCATCACAGCAGTCAACAATGCAACTGCAACTAGCTGATTTTTTTTTTTGACAGGTTTCACAAAATTAATTACATAAAGAGCATTTTTGGAATATATATCTTGAATTTTTATTTGCTAACCAATATTATTTTGATCTTTGTTACTCAAATAAGCTTATGAGTTCAGCAAATATCTATTTGCATGGATACACACACATACACACACACACACACACACACACACACACACACACACACACTACACTGTGACTGGTCTTAGAAAAAGAAACAAAATAATTTTTCAGATTATTATTATTATCCCCAAAGTATGCACCATCTACTGGAGAAGCTTTTCTTAAATCTAATCAAAAATTTAAAATACATTAAAGTAAAAGGTCTATAAAGAAAAGTATGTTTAAAATAAATATGATAAAGGTTTTGTTTACTTCAAATTCTGGGGCACTTGTTATATGCTAGGTCTTGGGTAAGCATAAAGAACATTAAATTTTAAAATCTGGCCATAAATAGGTGGTTACAGTCTGAAACAGAAGCAAAAGCATAAAACACTATATTATCAAGCTCTGTAAAGTACCGGGACAGAGATTTATATAAGAGGCCAAGTCATAGAGTCTGAGAGTGGACCAGCAGGTCTTTCTCCACTGAGGCTAGAAGGCAAAAACTGGGAAGAGGGTTTTCAAGATAGAACAGCATAAATGATTTAAGAAAACAGCAATCCAATGTGGGCTGTTTGACAAATAGATATTCAATACCGCCAGCACATAAAACTGAGAAAGGGGAAAATTCTCATAGATGGGCAAGAAAGTTGTAGACAATAGCCCAGAAGGAATGGAAAAAGATTAATACAGAACAAAAGTAGAAGGTATATGAACAAGACACTCATAGTAAAGCCTGAGAAGTAGAAAGACAGGGATGGGAAGGTTTTAGCATAAAAGCATGGGTTCATCAGGGTAGGAGACTAATCCCTCTAAAAGTAGTGCAGGCCCAGGGGTCCTGTAATCCTGTAATCCTAGCACATCAGGAGGCCGAGGCAGGAAGATTATCTGAGGTCAGGAGTTCGAGACCAGCCTGACCAACATAGAGAACCCCCATCTTTACTAAAAATACAAAAGTAACTGAGTGTGGTGGCGCACGCCTCTAATCCCATTTACTCAGGAGGCTGAGGCAGCAGAATTGCTTGAAACTGGGGGACGGAGGTTGCGGTGAGCCAAGATAGCACCACTGCACTCCAGCCTGGGCAACAAGAGCAAAACTCCATCTCAAAAAAAGAAAGAAAGAAAATAAGAGTAGTGCAGCAGATGAACTATTAGTAGACCAAATATAACCCTAGGACAGTAAGATCAATGAGGGCTAACATTCATATAATATTTCAAGCTAAATTCATTCATATGACTTCAATAGATAATTAACACATAATACAAAAGGTGCCATTTTTTGTTTTGTAAAATATGCCTGCCTATAAAATATTATTTATAAATAGTATAAATAAGCAATGTCAGGATGAACAACAGAGCCATAAATAATATTGACAGGGCATTTCAAGTTTTAAAACACTCAAGCAGTCTTCAACCAAAATACATCCTAATTTGGACATTATCATCCAATGTCACAATTTTATATTTCTTCTTGATTTAAAGGAAAACTTTCTTTAGTTTCTCTTTATTGTAGTTCTTTATTTGCCTTTTCAGCCCAAATTTCAACAAGGTACTTCAGAAACAAGACACCAGAAGGAATAAAAACAAAACCAATAAAAAGGGAAAATAAAGCAATTATCATGCCACTGTATGCAAAATATAAAGCAAAAAATAACTAAAAGGCACTGAATAAAAATCTGAAATTAAAATCTTGATCATGAGATGTTACTCAAAGGCAAGAGCAAAGAAAAAATGATGAACTTAGCCAGTTAGGTTCTATAATTGAGAAATGTCCATTCTAGATCAATCATGATTGTACCTTCAAAATAAAGATATTGTCAAAAATCTAAATCAAATGTCACTAATAAAATGGTAGGCAGAATTTGAAGAAGTATAAAGATTCAGATGATAAAACAAGCATTAAATGAATGTTAAAATACAGTTTAAGGTACCAATTAAACTAGCCTTAAAGCACTTCTGAATAAAATGATTTTTGAAACATTTGCATCATTTGAAAAGTTATATATACATTCAACAAAGTGATACTGCACAACTATTGGTCTCATTTTAAGATTCTTACTTTGCATGTAAACATATTCTACCCGCCGTTTTAAATCTGGCTTATCCTGTTTTAGAATGAGCTCATTTCTGTGTATTAGCCCCTACCACAAAATCTGTGCCAGGGTATTATATTTTCCTCATAGCTCTATTGGTGTACAGTTTCAGCTCTACAGCAGCATCAATCTCATTTTGGTTTTGAACTTAAAAATGTAGTATAGAAAACCCTTTGGAACTATAATCACCATCTATTACCTAACCTAACAGTTCTAAACATCATGCTAATGCTGATAGTTCTACATTCTGAAAAACAATCAAAGAAATTTTCATTATGTCAGTAGATAAATTTCTTCTCGTTAAGGCCACATTTCTAGTGAAACAACAATTTACTTTCTAGTACATGTGTAGTAGACATAAACATACAAATATAGACTTTACATGAGTGTTCTAAAGCAGAAAATACATAGAAAACAATTTTTTCTGTCTCCTTCAGTGCCAATGCTTTTAATGGTAATCTGGAATATGCAAAACCATAATGAACATGCTACAACAGCAGGCACATACACAGAAACATGTTTAAAGTGCCACATGTGATGACAGGAAACAACGAACTATTAATATGTAGGAGGAGATGTTAATTTTAGTTTGAGGTTTAGTAGGGAGCAGCAGTTTCTAAGGAACCAATAGCAAGTGTCCTGGACAAGCAGAGAACTCCTCACTGCTTGTCTTTGGCACTGTGGATTAGGAAGACTGTTCTCACTTCTCACCGCCCCAGGTTCTCTCTAATTCCAAAGGTACTATTTCACTTCAGTGCACTGGCAAATGGACATTAGCTTCTTTTTTAAAAAGACTCCATGTTACCCAAATTCCCAGCTTCCACCTTGTGACACTGTCTATTGCATCTTCATACATTCATCTGAATGCTTCCCTTACAATCCATGTCTAGACCACCACTCACTACAATCAACTTAACGGACACTAATGTTTTCATATCAATGTAAAAGTAGGAATTTGCCAACCGGAAGACCTTGAGTTTGATAGAATGAAGAGACAGAAACTTACTGATAGGACACAATATGAAACTGGTGCTTAAGAGCTGTTCCTACCACACACAGGAAATGTCGTGTGAATGTACCCAGCATTCTCAACAGCAGTACACAAAACGGATCTGCCACCAAGAACATTCTTACCCAGCAGGCAGCCCTCCTCATTAGCTTTGACAAGCCACACAGCCCTTTGCTTACTGGTGCAGTGTAGCCAACAGGGAGAGGGAGTTTACGAGTAACGGCGAGACAGAACTGGCTAATTACTTACCTTCTCACTTACGGCAGGCTTGCTCGTTTAACTTTTTGTTTCCTCTCTTGTCATAGCTCAGCGCCAAATGGTTATGAATCAGCAGAAGTCTGAACCTGACAGTTAAAAAGAATATATTTTCAGAAAAAAATTGGAAATTAACATTCCCTCCACTGCAGTCTTTCGTTCCTTGCCCTCTGTGTGCATGTTATTCTCCCGTTTTCTCTCTCTGCAAGGCAGCTACGTAGTGGTCTATAAATATTGACCCTGACACTTGCTCAGTGCTTTGCTTGCTCATGCACAGGTCTGTGTTACTGAACACCGTGGTAATACTCCGGCAAAGTTCTCAGCTGCTCAGACAAAGCTGTGGATTGGCTCACTACCCAGCAACCCTGTGCTTGCCTGGAAATACCATTCTGCTGCCAGCTTTACAGATGCTATGGGCCTTTCCTGAGGCCCAAATCAGGCACAGAAGGGCAATTATGAAGTTTGTCTGAAGAAATACAGCTTCCCTCAGGCAGGTGGAGAAAAGTGAGGCTAGGTGGAGTCAAAGACAAGAAAGGAAATACTGCCTTTGTTTTGGCCAAACAACACAATCTCAAACCCTTTATGAAAGTTGTATCTAAATGTCAATCAAGCTTTATAAAACTTAATTATGACATATTATGAATCCAAATGACACAGGAAAACAGTTTTGTAATTGTTTTTAATATTGTTTCTCAAGGAGGAAGGCTGCAGTAACTGCATAACTGGTCACAAAAAAATGTTATCAACATAAGTTCATTTGGAGAATGATAGAAATGCATAGGAAAGTATATTAATCAGATACATCATATATTTAGTGAAAGATGCTAAAGTATAACCTGAAATTGTAACTCAACATAATATTTATTTACAGTTCAAATGTAAACTTCCATATTTATACTTATGACAAGTTGAAAATTTAAATTTTAGATTAAGGACAGAATCCTACAGTACTATGGTATTTGCAGGTGACATAAACATGGTACGTAGTATCTCCATATACCACCTATAATGTCCACAGTATGAACAAGTAGAAAATAAATCAGTCCATATTTTTTACTTCCTGTCAAGGATAATGATTTGTTTACTAAAATTTTCTCGATTAAATCAAAGATAAAGAAAACTTTTGGGAGACTCTGGTCACTTTACTCATCTTAGGGATAAGAAAATCAACCCCCAGCTGGTTACTTTGCCCAGGGTCACACGGAACCTTGTGGCAGAGCCAAAACTAGAATCCTTGTCTGACTGCTCCTTGTTAGAACAGCGGTTCTCAAACTCATCTTTAGGCTCATCTTCATGTGAAAGCTTACTGAAATCTTACCAGTAAAGGCAAATATTACAGCCAGAAATATGATCAGCACAGAACAAAATTAACTTTTTACAGTGTAATTGATCCAAAAAATAAAGTTACATCATAAGAATTAACTTTCAAACAACTGAAATCCACCTTTCCTTGCTTAATGCAATAACTAGTATTTATCTAATAAATTAACTTACTGTCAAGAGAGGCATATAACTAGGTACTGAACAGGCAAAGATAAAACACAGTTCTTAACTCTCAAAGACCTTCAAGGTCTTATCTCCAGAAAAACAAAAGAGAAGTTCAATGTAAAACAACAATAGCAACAAAGACTACAGGAGGAAACCGAGGGAGAAGGGAAAATGAGCATCTGAGCCAACATGAACCGAGAGTAGAAGAGGGAATTCCTCACTCCAGACTTCTGGATCTTAAAAAATGAGCAAAAGGTAGTGAGCCAAAGAAGGGAAGAATAACACAATCAAGGCACAGGCAGGAAAGAGCAAAATATATACTTAAAACTTCAAATAGATCTTTCTTGCTGGAGCTTAGAACATAAGACAGAAAGCAATTAAAAACAAAACAAATAGAAGGAGGAAGGTGATAAGGGATTTTACAAGCCAGGTTGACAAACGTGGGTTTCATAGAGTAGGATAGGCTACCAGACTTTAACTACCTTTATTCACAGATTTTTTAAAGAATTTCAAAAAATTATGTAACCATTTACACATTACTAAATTGACAGCTACAAATTTTTACCTGTGGTAAAATATGCACTTGCAAAGAATTTCTACCCTATTGGAAATATTGACATTTTAAAACAAAACACATCAGCTATTTTAAATATACTCAATAGCATCTAAATCCACAATCATTTAATATAACCATTATCTATTTAAATAACACACAGAGATGCTTCTTTTGGCCACTGAAATTTACACGGCTATTTATTTTCTTGATTTTATTTCCATCTTACTGCCTCATAAAATTTTTACATATTTTATAATTAAGTCCTCAGTTGTTCACCCTGTCATCCTTTTTTTTTTTTTTTTGAGATGGAATCTTGCTTTGTTGCCGAGGCTGGAGTGCAGTGCCGCTATCTTGGCTCACTGTAACCTCCGCCTCCCAGATTCAGGCAATCCTCCTGCCTCAGCCTCCTGAGAAGCTGGGACTACAGGCATTTGCCACCACACCCAGCTAATTTTTGTATTTTTAGTAAAGGCAGGGTTTTGCCATGTTGGCCAAGCTAGTCTCAAACTCCTGACCTCAGGTAATCTGTCCACCTCAGCCTCCCAAAGTGCCGGGATTATAAGGGTGAGCCACCACACCGTGTCATACTTCTTGCAATACAAATTTAAGGCATTAGTTGATTTTTTAATGTTAAATGTTCTATGACTCCAGGATAATGCACCATAATAACATTTGGGATGGATAAGGGTGTGCTTTTCTTTCGTAAGGTAAGAGAAAGAGTGTTGCGAATAAAGTGCTATTCTTAGCCAGATCAATATTAATGAAGAGTTTATGTAGAAGTGGAGAATCTGGACACTGACTCCATTAGAATTACCCATTCAACTGCTAAGAGAAAGAAATCAGTCTGAAAAGACTACAAACTGGGCTGGGCACAAATGGCTCACACCTGTAAACCCAGCACTTTGGGAAGCTAAGGCAGAAGCATTACTTCAAGCCAGTAGTTTGAGACCAGCCTGGGAAACATAACAAGACCTTGTCTCTACAAAAAAAAAAAAAAAAAAAAAAGTTAAAATAAAAATAAAATAAAATAAAATAACTTAAATTAGGCAGGTGTGGTAGCACACACCTGTAGTCCCAGCTGAGATGAGAGGATCCCTTAAACTCAGGGATTCGAGGCTGGAGTGAGCTACGATTGTGCCATTCCACTCCAGCCTGGATGGCAGAACAAGACCCCATCTCTCTAGAGGAAAAAAAAGGGGGGGGAGCTACATACTGTAGGATTCTCACTGTATAGCATTCTGGAAAAGGCAGCACAATATACAGTGTAAACACTGGTGGTTGTAAGGAGATGACAATGAAACACAGGGGATTTTTAGGGCAGTGAAGCTATTCTGTAAGATGCTGTAATGGCAGATGAATGATATTATGCATTTGACAACGCCCACAGAACTGTAAAACACAAAGACTCAACCCTAACGTAAACTATGAACTTTAGTTAAGACTCTTCCTCTGTCTTCTAAGGCGTGTGGTCTAGAGGGAGTAGCAGTAGCAGTATTATTTAAGAAGTGATCACAGTCTAAGAGGAGCTTTGGAAATATTATCTCTAACACTACAGACAACACTGGCAGACAGTTATGTTTTTGCCTTTTTAAAAATAAAGAAAATGAGGCTGCGTGTTAAGTGGCTTGTCTGAAGTCATGTGATTAATAAATTATAGAACTGAGATTCAGTCCAAATCTCTCTGGCTGGACTACATTACCACATAATACCTTTATATCAGTCAGTGGAGATGTACAGGCCCATGCCCAGGTAAGAAAGTAGATTAAGCAATGCGATCACAAAGTCAGGACTGATTTAAAATGCTGTATTCTGTATGTACCTCAAGGAACTTCTTGAATTTTAATATTGAGTATTGGGAGGTAGCAGAAAGAGAGGCCTAACAAATTAAGCAGTGGATGAAATTAAAGTAACTGACACATCTTGCTAAAGAGAACTTAAGGGTTTTTTATCTTCAATTTGACTGACGGGCAAGGAATACATGAAGAGTCAAATGGGGTTCTTCTTTGAGTGGCTGGGTCTCTGCCAAGGCAAATGTTTTGGGAGGAGGAGGCAACTTTAGAACAGGGAGCTGGGAAGAGCAGATGGATTTAGTTTTGGACATGACGAACTTTGGATATCTGTGTTGTACTGAAGTATGTTCAGTAGTCATTAAGATATACTAGTTTGGTATACCAGAGAGATTAAGACTGCATCAATTCAGTAAGTAGTTTTGTATTCTTGCTTTCCTAGTTCAAACCTTGTCACCATATTCTCAGCATAGAAGTGAGAGAAGTCAGCCGGGCATGGTGGCTCATGCCTGTAATCCTAGCTTTGGGAGGCCAAGGGGGGCGGATCACAAGGTCAGGAGATCGAGACCATCCTGGCTAACATGGTGAAACCCTGTCTCTACTAAAAATACAAAAAAAATTAGCCGGGCATGGTGGCACATGCCTGTAGTCCCAGCAACTCGGGAGGCTGAGGCAGGACAATTGCTTGAACCTGGGAGACGGAGATTGTGGTGAGCCGAGATCACACCACTGCACTCCAGCCTGGGCAACAGAGCCAGACTCCATTTCGAAAAGAGAGAGAGAGAGATATCACTTAAAAATCTCACTCAGATCACATTCATCTTCTAATCTAAACAAAGCCCTGTGCTGGTTCCCCGTTTTACTCAGAGTAAAAGCTAAAGTCCTTATAATGGTTCATATAGACTAGCCCCACTCTATTCTCTCATTATGCCTCTGACAGCATGGACTAGAGCCACCCTCAGTTTCTCAGCTCCAACCCACTGGTCCTCCTACTATTCCTTAAATGTGAATGACCAGTTTGCCTTTAGTATCCTTCCATTTGCTTTACGTTCTTAGAGAGAGCTGCAAGGCTAACTATTCATGTTGAAATCCCTGTTCAATGGGCACCTTCTCAGCACTCTCACACTACTTAAAACTGCAGACTTCCTTGTTATTTGTTATTGCTTGTGTCTTCTCCATAGAATATAGGTTCAATAACAGCATAGAGTCAAGCGCCTAAACTGAGCCTTCTACACAATGAATGCACAATAAATA